AGCCAAAGGTTTTCTTTGTTTTCTTCCTGATACTTTGATTTGGACTTAGGAATGATAGCTTAGGCTTTTTGTTTCTGTATCATTTACCTGCAGAAAGATGTGCCTTTTGCTTTTGTAAGTTTAGTTCATTCTCTGTGCTTGTTGTTCTTTAGGTATATATTGAAGCTGCTGAGGATATGCTTGAAGATGATGTTGCTTCAAACAAAGCTATAGGAACCTTTGGTTCAAGCTTGTTGAGGCAGCAAGCCAAGAATGCTGATAAGCTTTCTGTTCTGACCCATTGCAACACTGGAAGGTATTGCTTTAGATAGATTCTGAATTGCATTGATACACAGACATTTGTATATGTTCTTCAAAACTCACTCAAGTTGAGGCATGTTACTACATATATGTCTGCAGTTTCAACCAATAGAGTTATGTATTGATTTTTGGTGTTATGTTTATGTGGTAGATTACTAGTAAGGCATTAACTAAGAATTCTATTGTCTCTGTAGCCTTGCTACCGCCGGATATGGTACTGCCCTCGGTGTCATCCGTGCACTCCATGCTCAAGGAATCTTAGAAAGAGCATACTGCACAGAAACTCGTCCATTCAATCAAGTAAAACTCCTAAATTAATACTTTTTCTTTCTCAATATCGTAAGAACAAGAATCCGTAGAATACCTTAAGTTGTTAGGGACGATAATTACCTGTATATTGGCATTTGTGTTCATCAAAACGATGGTAAAAGTTTCAAAACCTTGAAGGAAAGTAGGACAGATACTTCTTGTGGCTGCTTCCTGGATCCATTGCTTTATAGAGTTTCCATATCCCTGTTGAATTGTTGAAAGTCTTTTGAATTACTAAAAATGAGAATTGACAGGGATCGAGGCTTACCGCGTTTGAGTTAGTGCATGAGAAAATCCCTGCAACTCTCATTGCAGACTCAGCTGCAGCTGCACTGATGAAAGATGGCCGTGTAGATGGTGTCATCGTTGGAGCAGATCGCGTGGCTTCAAATGGTGCGCTCAAACACGTTAAATAATTCATATTTCTCTGTAATTCTGATTCTTTATGACTGAATTACTTCTAAACCAATTCATTCATACATTCCAGGTGATACTGCTAACAAGATTGGGACTTACAGTCTCGCTTTGTGCGCAAAACATCACGGGATCCCATTTTATGTTGCTGCACCTCTTACCTCAGTTGATCTGTCACTTTCATCCGGGAAAGAAATCGTAATAGAGGAAAGATCTCCAAAGGAGTTGCTGCACACACATGGAGGACTTGGTGAACGCATTGCAGCACCAGGGATCTCAGTTTGGAACCCAGCTTTTGATGTGACTCCAGCAGAGCTGATTGCGGGAATCATAACCGAGAAGGTTCGTTTTTCCAGGCTTACTTGTTCTGGTTTATACTGAGGATTATTGACTAAAACCAGAAGATTTTTATGCTCATTTATCTGAATCTCTCAAAGTGTTTGTATATGCAGGGGGTCATAACAAAGAATGGCAATGATACATTTGACATAAGCAGCTTTGCCAAGAAGATGACATGAAACTCATCTGGTTGAAGTTAGAGTCAGCATTGCGACTTGCGGATGTTCCCCTCTCTATATACTTGCAATAAATCAAATTACTTTGTAATGGAGCTACTAAGTACAGTAGTACACTGTGGTAAGGATTGTCGAAAATAAGAAACAATCGACAAGAAAAAATCCGTTTGATTCAATTGGTTTTTTAGGTAGCCAAAAACCACTTCAGAAACAGATCGATTACTTCCAAAAATAAATTGGGCGTGATTGGAAGCTGCTGTAGAAGCTTTACACAGCCATATTATTATCTAAAGCCATTAATCTACAGCAATAAGACTTTACACATATTTTAAAAATCTACAGCCACTTTTCATGTCTTTCCATTTTTTTTGGCCGTAGAGAACCATATCCTACAACACTAATATTTTGGCTTTAGAAGATTTAAAGAAAAATTAATTATTTTCTCTCTCCTATCTTTTATGTTTTTTACGTAGAAGCATATATTGGTTATATACACATAATTCATGTAGTTATTTATAAAAATAATGACTATCGTTTATTATATATTTCTTTGGTCTAGCTACTATTACAACTTTATCTCTATTATATATATATATATGTATATGTAAAATATTATATTTTTACCATCTAAATATATATTGAATTTATAATTTCTTGTAATTTATATTCCTATTAACTTAAAATAATAATTTTATAACTAAGACAATAAAATACAGAAGTCTAAATAATACAACCAATCAGACTTTCATTTAAAAAAGTTAGAGACAAAATTCCACGGACAACATTCTAAAGCCACAACAAAAAAACCTACAGCCTAAATTTTACATCAAAAAATATAAAGCTACCGCCGGAACCAATCAGGCCCAATGACATTCAATATGCAAAGAATAGATCATCCAAGTATACAACTTAGCCAAAAACTTTAGGTCTATAAGACTGTGACAAGGACGGAGGATATGCTACAACAACACAACTATCATCCCTTAAAGTCTTAAACCATTTAATGTTGCTTATCAAACCAAATCCAATATTTACTTCCTCGAATTTTGACATTTCAACCAATCTTCAAAAACATGGTGTTTAATATGAAGGGATTGTGTTATCTACTGTGTCATTACTGTGTCATCACAATTAATAAGTATTCAGTAATATGGTCATTCTATTTGATCTTGGACACTAATTCCAAATACGGAAACAAAGCTGTGTGGAGGGAGCCCCCAATCTATATTTACATTTTTGGAGTACATTTAGCAAATAAATCCTGGAATTGGGAAGTATTTATAACTTATGCCATTGGTGGGTCGGTTTTTTTTTGCATTCGTTTGACCCGGTTTTGTTGCAATCGGATACCTCCGAAATTTTTTCCTACAACAATAAATCAAAATCGGCATTAATTAGTTAGACAATGTTAACAACCAGATTTAGGAAATATAAACCAACTCACTAACTCAGTTTAGTACCCTAATTAATATGACAACATTAATTTACTTTCTTAAATTAAACCACATTAAATTAAAAAATATTTCCACAATACTATCAATCCAATACTATGCCCAGAAAAATCTCTTAAATATATTTAAGGAAAATAAGAGTTGGTTCGAAACCGTTATACGAAATCACAATACAATATCTCTTAACTTTCTTCTTTTTCAACACAAGAAATTCAACAAATTTCCAATCAACCCACTCATATTCCTAAAATATATCTCCGAATTCTAACATAGATATCCAAACTACCCTAAATTAATATTGTGATCTATATAATACCTAATAATCCACGAAATCTATTTATATTGACCATCGAAAATATATTTTCATTCCAATATCTACCTAAAATTCTTCCACATTAATTTTTAACAAATCAACTTGAGAATTTAAATAGCATAAAATTGGTATATTCCTAAAAAAAATAACAAATTCAAAAATATTCTTCCAAAAAAAAATGTTCACGTCAAATCTACTATTTACTAACTACGCATAAATAACCTAATTATTTGTCCCTATATATACTCTACTACTATACACCTATTTATATCACAAAACTCAAAAGCTCATAAATCCGGATGTGTATACCTTTTCACTCTTAGCAATGACTGCTACTTTTGTCTTCCTCAAAGATGTGCGCCCCTACAAGACCTCTTGGAGGGTACAAGTGAAGATCTTGCATTCCTGGCGTCAATCCATGCAAAACAGAGATGACAATCTCAAGAGTTTCACCAGTGCTTTGAATGTATTGACACCAGAAATGGAAGATCTTCACTTGTAACCTCCAAGAAGTCTTCTAGGGACGCACATTTTTGAGGAAGGCAAAAGTAGAAGCCATTGTTATGTTTTAAAAGGTATAAACGAAAGTTTTGAAGGAGATGTTGAGTTGTTGTGGTAGAGAATATGTGGTATAGTCGTAGAGTATTTATAGTTGTAAGTAATTAGGTTAATAGGTCGTAGAGAATAAGTGGAGAATATTCGGCTAACAAAATATTGGAGAGATAATCTTTGAATTTGTTAAGAAAGAATTATATATTGAATTTAATTTATTAAACGTGTAAATGGGTTTTGTTATGATATTGTGATTATTAGATCTTTCAATTTCGTGTAGAAAACGTGGCAAAGGAAATTCATATCTTTCAAATGGGAAAGAGGAGACAATTTTTTAAAGGAAATCATGTAGTTAATTATGTCGTTGGAATTAACTAAGGAATATGGGATAAATTTTTCCGGAGTTGTTTACTTATTGATTGGTAGATATGAGAGATTGGAGGGAGAAAATCTTTTGAAAAAGGTATTATGAAGAGATATTGTTTAGTGAATCTATTATTGTTAGTGATTGTGTAGAATTGAAATAATAAATAGGGTAATATACATTAGAGACATTTTAGGGAGTGAATAGATATAGTAGTTTTAAGTAGGCTAATTAACGGATTTTTTTGATATTGTCATAATCATTTTGTTAAAAGATCATAACAAATGTCATTTTTTTTTTTTACAGAATTTAATCGAGATCCGATTGCCAAAAATCCGGGTCAAACGAATGAATTAACTCGACCCACCAGTGACATTCCATTGAAAATACTTCTCAACTTCAAGATTTATTTGTTAAATGTACTTCAAAAATGTAAATATAGATAAATTCTTGTATTTATATTATTTATAGGCTAAAACTCTCATGGACAAAAGTACAAGAAAAATAAGTATAGCAAAAATATAATAAAATATGTTGAATACATTGAAACAAAATATAGTTAATAATTAATTTTTTAATTATTAGAAATTTAACATATGTGTTTATTATCAAATAGACAAATACTACTATCAATCAACCCATCCCGGATGGCCGGATATCTAGCCGGTTCGCTCGATCCGGTTCGATTGAGTTTAAAAAGCATAAATGTAATATCAACTATCTTCAAGGGTATTTTGGGAAATTAACTAACCCTTTGCAATTTTTCTTATTTTCTGTCTTGAAGACAAAGAAAGCTTTCTTCTATAATCCTTCTCTCGTCGCATTCCACAGATCACAAGAACCAAAACTCGAATCTTCACTGAGAAGAAGATGAGCAGAGGAAGCGGAGCTGGTTACGATCGTCACATCACTATTTTCTCACCGGAAGGTCGTCTCTTCCAAGTGGGTCAGGAATCGATTTCTCCGAGCTTTCTATCGTTTTTTTTTTTCTCCATTTTTAACTTGATGTTATGGTTACGGATTTTGTAGAGTATGCTTTCAAAGCCGTGAAAGCAGCTGGAATCACATCGATCGGTGTGCGAGGGAAAGATTCTGTATGCGTCGTTACGCAGAAGAAAGTTCCGGTGAGTCCTGTTTTTTACTCCTTAGTGTTTTTGGGTAGAATGCATATTCGAAAATCGATATTCTTAGTTATCGAATTAAGGGTTTTTGTTCAAGTGTGGGTTTTGAATTAGGGATCTGATAAAGTTGAGATTTTTATTATGATTGTGCAGGACAAGCTTCTAGATCAGTCTAGTGTATCTCATCTTTTTCCTGTTACCAAGTACCTTGGATTATTAGCCACTGGCATGACAGGTTCGTAAATCTATCATAATGCTTGTTGGTTTTGATGATCAAGTTTTGATATTTCTGAAATCTATACCCTTTCAATGGAATTGCAGCTGATTCAAGGTCATTGGTACAACAAGCAAGGAATGAGGCAGCTGAGTTTAGGTTCCAATATGGATATGAGATGCCTGCGGATATTCTTGCTAAATGGTATACTTGCAAACTTATATCACTCTATCTGCCTCTACAGTGATGAAGTATGTATGTGGAAGTTACTAATGATTGAGCAATTGGGCTGACAGGATTGCAGATAAGTCACAGGTTTACACTCAACATGCTTACATGAGACCCCTTGGAGTAGGTAAGTTTGCTAGCTCTTCCTTGCTTAATGCCTATTTATACATTTGGTTGTGTTTGTCTGTGTGGTTTACTCCTGGTTATAGTTAGTTGGATATAGATTTATTTTATCCTGATTCTTGTTTTCTTTTTCTGAAGTTGCCATGGTTCTGGGTATTGATGAAGAGAGAGGACCTCTACTTTACAAGTGTGACCCAGCTGGACATTTTTACGGTCACAAGGTAATACCACCTACTTGTTATAATTAGATAAGCATCTGCCTCTTACATGCATATTGATATAGACTACTGCCTATGGTAACATTGGAGAAAGAAACACTATATTGCACTTGCTTCTTTCAAGTCATTAGTTTTCTATCAATCTTGCCTAACCAGATACTGTACTGAGAAAAGCTATAGATGTTTATCTTATTTTCTTGTACCATTACATAACTTATCTGCTTTTAAGAGTTACTGGTTGACCATGGAGGTGAAACCAAAAGATCTATACATTGTAAACCTGTGAAATATGATGTAGTCACATATGTGGTACATATGTTACTTCTGGACCACATACCCACCATTTTAGGAGGCTACAATGTACAGATCTATTGTTCCATGGGATCAGAGGCTTCTAGATAAAGTTTCTCAAATAATAAGTAAGCAAACATATGATGCAGGCAACTAGTGCTGGTATGAAAGAACAAGAAGCAGTCAATTTCTTGGAGAAGAAAATGAAAGAAAACCCTGCCTTCACATATGATGAAACAGTGCAGGTAATTTTGGATAATCCTCCTTTGTTTTTTTCCTTAACCATAATTTTCTATGGGAAGCAGCATCTGTTTGTGTATCAGGGTGATAGTAGATTTGCATACACCTTAAGAAGCTTTATTTTTTTATAGTAGATTTAAAAACTGTAGGAACGCACAAAGCACCAATATTCTAAAACAACTTAGCCCATAATTTCTGACTATGAGTTATCATACTTTTGTAGACTGCTATATCCGCTCTCCAATCTGTTCTTCAAGAAGACTTTAAGGCAACTGAAATTGAGGTATCAATCCTCCACTTTCTGTACTCCTTTTTTGTATTTATGTTGGCAAGAGTAGTAGTTTGTATATATGTTGGCCAGAGTCGTATCGTGTTAGCCATATTTGTATCGTGGTTAGGAATAAAGGAGAAACCAATGGAAATGTAGTTTGGTTAAAGCTTTGAGAAAGTCATGTAAATATTTATGCTGGCCACTGTTGTGTTGGCAGGTCGGAGTTGTGAGAGCTGATGATCCTCTCTTCCGTTCCCTGAGAACAGAGGAGATTGACGAGCACTTGACGGCCATTAGTGAACGTGACTGATCACTTTTCACTGGAACATTTTAATCAGACTTTGCATCTCTTTCTCTTGCTTTAAAGCTATCTAAGATGATTCACATATCATAGAAACTTGTTTCCATTATGAATCGTGTAGTTTCCATTTGAATCATCTGCTTCCTCCTAATAGAAGTTACATGTAAGGTTGTCACATTAAGATTGAATGAGATGGTTTAAGGTTTTTGAATTTTAGAAAGGCAAAACAAAGAAGTGATTCACAAGGCTAAGACTCAGAACAGGGAATATGAGCAATATATACCTTCAGAATTGGGAAATCTGCAAAACCACGACACTTGTCTTTCAGATAATCACCTAAAGGAACTCTGCATTTTGATGTTCGAGTCCAACTCAATGAACAGAGCATGACTGAAAAGTTTTTGGAGGTGAAATTCCTTTCTTCATAGGCTTGTTAAAGAGTCACCACTATGGCTTACGGGAGAAACTTATCAACTCTCGAGCGGCACAACATATTCAACAAGTTGACTGGTCTGCACGGTTCAACATAGCTGTCGAAATTGCAAACGGACTGAAGGTTTCACCAATCCTTCACCGCAACATCTATCAGAGAATCTCATGGACTCGGATATGGAGCCTTCCGTTTCAGATTACAGACTCAACAATTACAACGGCTACCATTACAGGCAGAACTGGGTACATTGCACCAGGTACAGACATGGCTCTTAGGTGTACTGAGAAGAGGCCGGTGAAAGATTCGACTGATGTGAAAGTTTTGGAAGAACACTTCTGGTTCAGTTGACTAGTTTCGGATTTTTGCAGGTATACCATATGTAGCAACTAATATAAATATAACTCCATTGAGTAACCTTGAAGATTTGAGAAACCTATTTATCCAAAGAGGCTTATTTTATTGCATAAGTTGAAATTGTTGGGAGAAACAACAACTACAGAGGCTTCAAAATTATCACATTTTGGAGATAATTCCTTTAAATTTCAGCAAGAGCATCTTACTGACTCGTTAGGAAGTAGCAACTTTATTAAGCATAAAACTGATTAACTCGTATCGTTTCGTTTACTATGCATAAGTTTTCCATTACTCACAAGCGATAACGTTCCCTATATTTGTCGGACATGTACACAAGATCAAAATGAAAACAAACAAAACATAGCCAAACTCGGATACTGACATAGTTAAGAATAGGACTCAAAAACTTTCTGGTCTCCTCGAGACTCTCCACTACCCTTTTCTCGTATATCATTATGATGAACCAAGCGTAACAAAAATTGTCTAAGAGAATAAGACTCGCATGTAGCTAAAGCAAGATGCCCAAAATAAGAAACAATGAGACTGATAGATCTTTTTTTTAGCATCTTTACAGCCATTTGCTCTCACCATGAAAATAAAAAGTATCCCTCTTTCTCTACATTAGAGACAAATTGTCTCAGACAATGTATTATAAATAAAATGTTTTTCGGGCAAGTAATTATTATTTTTGGAGTTTTATGTTTGAGTCTAGCATATAAGAGTTTGTAGATTTTTTTAAATACCACAAATTCGATTGAAAACCAATATTTATCACTACAGAGAGGAAGACAATAAAGATAGTTAGACCGATGCTATATAGCTCCAAATATTAAGTATATAAAATATGATTTTTTAGTTTTAGTTTGAATTCATTTTTATCAATTTTAGGTCTTATTGTTTGATATAAAATTAAATGGTAATCATATAAATATGACTCAATTTAGATTATCATGTTCAAAATCTTTTGGTGTTATGCAATTATGTTTTGGTTTTTGTTGTTGAGAATAAGCATTTGAATATTTTTACGGTTTTTATGTATTTAGAACAAACTAATTTTTTAGAAGTAAGAGTTTGGTGCGTATTAATTAAAATATTTGTGGCACAAATTATAAAAATCTGTGGTTGAATAAAAAAAATCTGTCAAAAAAAAATAATCTGCCATAATTTTTTTTTGTCTGTCGTAACCATATTTTTAAAAATCTGTCAAACAAATAAGTCTTGCCAAAAGAAATATGTCATAGACAAATAAGTCTGTAGTCCAAAAATTAATCTGTCATAATTAGACAGTAGACTTTTGTAAAATTGCTGGAATTAATTTAGAAGGTTATTTTTGTACTTTTTTTTTTTAACACATGAGATAAGGGTATTTTAGGCATGAAAATAACTAATTTAACTCAAATTATTTGTGAGTCAATCTAGTAATTAAACTCAAAATTTAGGTCAATCTAGTAACTCTCCCTATTTAAAACTTCAATTGAGCTTCTATTGCTTCATTCATAATTTGCATATAAGTTCTTCTATTTCCATGGGTAGTAGTCTCTTTTTTTTTTCACGGCAAATCTATTATACGATCTTTATCTTTGGCTATCACCCATACGATGAAATTCCAAGATCCTTGCCGCATATTCTTTATTAATGGCAATTGTATCTTCTGCATCTCCTTGACCAAGCCTCGCTTTGATTTATGAAGCATATTCCAAATAAGAATCCAATATATTAATACCTCTCGTTGATACATGTAGTATTGTACGATACAGAAACTCCCTTTGTTGCCACTTCGTCTATGAGTCGAACCTTTCTCCATGGTGGTTTCCATGGTCGTTTTTTCCATAATAAAGCCATTAAAAGGAGAACACATAAACCGCTAGGAATGGCCAATAGATATAAGCCACTGCAATTTGGAGACAAAAGACCATTGATAACTCTATATATATATTGTCAGCCAAAGAAAATTCTTCCCTTCAAAGTAAAAGCGGTTGAGACAAACGGTTTCCTTTAGAACATGATTCTCGCGAGCATTTGTCACTTTTTCGGCAAGACGCAAGAAGAAAAAACGGGGATTGATTTGGATTCCAGATTTGAGTGACATGGGTCGGGTAAAATTAGGGTTTTGAAAAGAAACAGTTACCTCATCGAGAATCATCGGAAACCAATGACTTCGTCATTTGAGTGACTTGGGTCGGGTCGGGTAAAATCAACCAATCTGTCCGACACAGTAAATAACGACATCGTCGTCGCCGGAGAAAGAGCACTCTACTTTGAGAGAAAAAACAGTTACCTCGAAATGATACGAGGAACAAGAAGACGATGATAGATTTCAAATAATTCATCATCGTGATAACGGGAATACGAGACTTGAAACGAAAGCGGTGGCCTTCTCTTTCAGATTTTCCGGCGATAGTAGTCTCTTAAAAAATAGAATATAAATACAATAAGTAGTAAGTAATATATATGTCAAATATAAATATCTACTTTTAACCAATTATCTGACTTCGTAGTACAAACAAATAAATTTATTAATATTACAACTAAAAATAAATAATAAATTAAATCATTAAAAACACACAAATAATTTTTTAGTTTTATATAAAAATATAATTTTGGTTTTTTTTTGAGTAAGAAAAAAAAAATGTTTGAACAAGAGAGGGATCAGATGGTATAATGATTGGAGCGCCCAATTAGTCGTAACAGGCTTTGAGCGAAACGCTCGTCACACAATTAACGTGAGATTAAACCCATTCCTCATTTCCCCTTTAACTTGCCTGAAGGATCATATTTTCCAATGTCACCACCTCTTCTCCTTTTATAATAACCCCACAAGTTTCTTACTTCTCTACATAACCGATGTGGGACAAAACTCAACTTTTTGTTTTTGTTTGAAAGTCTCTGACTTGGTCGGAGGGTTCCAAAATATAAGGAAAATTAATGTTGAAGAGAAGCTAAGACTGAAGATACAATGTGAAGTGCACCTGTGACTATACCCATTCCTGAGTCACTACTACTGGTTGTGTTATCGCTGAGAATCTTATAGGCAAGCTTTAAGGAATCCAACATAGTTTTGTTTTGTTTTCTGAAGCTTTTATAGACACTAAACCTAACTCATCAGCAGCTTTTAACCATTATGATTTCAAACCGAGCTCGCCGTTGATCTAACCTTACCACCACCAATGTCAGCTTCTGTTAGAATAATTTCTTCTGGTTTTAAACGTGAGAGAAGTTCTTTTGCAAAGGACACATGGTCTTTGTCGCTAGCCATTGCAACCACAAACACTAATCTTGTAACATTCCGATCTATATAGGCTTTCTCTTATTTGGACATGAGGCCCATCGAAGCCCAATAACCAACCCTAAAGGCCTAAACTAAGTATGCATGTGTCGTGGATACATATACTTTTTTTTTTTTCGTGGATACATATACTTATGTAAGTTCTTCTTCACGGGCCGTCAAAGGGAAACGCACACCTAAACCTTAAGATCAGACCATCACCTTGATGAGCTTTGAAAAGCCATAATCATGTTCTTATTGTTGTTGTCCCTCATTCGTAAGAGGAAAGAGATGGAGGCGTTGTTGCGATCAGCCCCGGCCCAACATTATTACAAGCCTTAGGGCAAAAAAATTTTTTGGACCTTTTAATTTTTTTTCAAAAGAAAAAACTGAATATTTGGACATATTTTAAAATTGTTTGGGCCTATTGTTGACAAAAAAAATGAAGTGTTTAAATATCTGGGCCTAAATTTAGTATTTTTAATGAATAATTTTAAAATAAAAACGATTGGGACCTTTTTAAATACAAAAAAATAAATTAAACGGGCCTTTTTATACATCAATTTTTTAAAGTTATGTATGAGTCCAGCGGTCGCACTTCTGCCCTACCCACTTGGGCCGGGCCTGGTTGCGATGTCGTTAGCATTGTCGTTGTTGTTATGTGTATTGGCTACTTTGGATCTGTGATAAGGAGGGAAAATAGACTAGAGAAGATGAGAGACATATCGGAGCCGGTGATGTTGAGAACAGAGCGAGAAAAGGAGAGAAAAGAAAGAAGAAAAGAATAATAGTTGTAACGAGTGGAGATATTGGAGAGATATTTCCCGTCTGACCATAACGGCTTAGCTCAAGATCAAGGCATGATTGGAAAGTTCACGGTTTCAAGAATCCATAGCCACTGGCGGAGCTTGAATATCGGTATCATGTTCATGAAGTTATGAGCATTGCTTTCTGCACAAGAAACCAATGATCCTGCAAAATAAAATGGTGAAGCCTGGAGCCCTAGAAATCAGTTCTGTTGCAGTATCTTGAGGAGAACGTGGGAGGCTCATTTGATGTCTGATCGAGATGAAAATTGGTGGAGTGCTTCATGGTACTATTAGCTAGAGATTCAACGGTGGGATCGTGGTTCTAACGGTCAGTTGTGGTTTTATTCATGAGTTTTTGAGGCACATCAATTTAGAGTAAATGTTGATATATTCTATTGTTTGATATGTCAAATGAGGTGGGATTGAGATGAATCTCTATTGGAGCATTTATGACGCATGTATCTATGTCTCTGTTGATGGAGAACCAAGTTTGAAATCCATGTTCGAACTGTAGGCTTTCCGACAAGTTAAGACTAAGGTGAGAGTGGTAATTGTGGAAACACAATGGTTATTTCTTACAGGACAAAGACAAATGATGGTTAAAAAAGAGTTTATGTGATCAATGATTCATTGTGATATTGCAATCGTTAAAGTATCATGTAAGTAGTGGAACAAGTTCTTGCCGTTTCATTTTTGTGCACACAACTAGATAGTAATCGAGGTTTTGTAAAATTTTTTAGGATGTTAATGGGGTTCTTCAAGAATTTGGCCGACACCCTTTAACAAGCATCTTTTCAAACAATATGTTTTCCCAAAGCATTTCTTCAAAGCGTTGTATTTGGTCCAATCAAGGTTCAATCAATTTTCTTGCATTTCCTTATTAAATCTCAAATAGGCTTTTTGTTTCATCTAATTTTATTTTCAGTAAATCTTTGTACTAATATAATATTACAAACAATTTAGTGTTTTTATCTATTCAACATTTCTATACATAATACTAGAATAGGACCCGCCCGATGTGCGGGTTTAAATTTATGAAATAAAATTAAATTTAACAAAAAGGTAAATTAAATTTTTATTGTGAACATAAAATATTTTTAAGAAATAAGAAGATAAATTATTAATTAGAGAGAAATTTTGTTTATATATTCATCTTTTTACTTTAATTCACTTATTTGCATTTCTATATTTTATATTTTTAGTGCATTTATTATAATAATCAAGTTAATTTAAATTACCAATCACCAAACTTTTTGCAAAAATATTCATTATTATTATTTTCAAATCTCAAAAAACATGGTTTGCAATTTTGCCTAAAATATGTTTTCACAACTTTTTCATGAAATATTTCACATAAAATCAGCATATCAAACCGTCATTTTATTTACATTTCGTTACAAATTTAATAGTGTACCACTCAAAATTTATTTTTCACATTCAATCATATTTTAGTGTTGCATGAGTTTACCACCACTTAAAAAAATGTCTCTATTAACATATTAAGCCAACGATATGTTTCTTTACTTTCACTTTTACATAGTTAATATGAGTAACTAACTTTAAAACCATACTTTATATAATAAGATTGTTCATTGGTTGTTTAAGAAATAAATTTTTAACTAATTTGAAATTTACCCAATGCATCGCATAGGCTGTAATAGTTTAATACTACTTATCCCTGTTCAAAAACGCGGCCAAGGCGGCCAATTTCGCGGCGGCTAGTCGCTCGGCAGCAAGGGACCGCGGGGATTATAGTCAAATCGGCTCAAAAATCGGAATTTTTCAAAAAATTTGATTTTTTGTTCTTTTGAAAAGTTGAAATTCATAGTTCTTTAATGGATCTAGCATATATAACAATAAACAATAGAAGAAAATAAAAAAAAATGATAAAAAGTGAAGAAAAATTAAGTGACGGCCGAATTAGGGTTTACAGATCTCGTTTTTGAGAGGTTGAAGACAAGGGTATTTTGGTCATTTATTATCAATTAAACCTAAAATGAACAAAACAGGCATAAATGTGAGCGGGACTACTCAAACTCGGCACCTGGGAGAACATTAACACGCTTATAACCACTGGACCATATTGCATTATTAATTTTTGTTCCGCAAAAATAATATATATATACAATATATAAGTAAAAAAAAAAAAACTAATCCCGATTAATCCCCGTTTAATCTCTGATTTTTTGGCTAGGCGCTAGGCCCAGCTCGAACGCCCGACTAACGCCTAGCGATTTTTTGAACAAGGCTACTTCAATACTAATAAAAGGGACAATTTGAGACTTTTCAGAATGTCCACCACAGCTTTTACAAAATCTCTCCGAAGTTGCCACATAAGCGGTCGTCGTGAAAGCTACTTCTCAAAGGCCACGTGTACCTCCATTTATAGCTACAAAGGGTTCTCACTTCTTAAAACGTCAAAAAGCTTTGATATAAAATCAAAACGTTATCACTTCTCTAAACTTGGTTTACGTTTCGTCTCCTCCATCTATCTTTCATCTGACTATCCAAGTTCTTCATCACTAATTTTGAACATTTTAGAAATTCTGATTTCTTTTGGTTCTCTAGGGTTTTTACTTTCAATCTTATTTATTTATATATATCAAAAAATCAATCGCTCCTTTCCCGTAGAAAAGTGGTCGTTGTTGATCTCTAGATTTGAACATTGAGAATTAGAGAGAGAGTGGACAGAGCCGAGAAGAAAAATAGTGAACCTAACCTACGGTCGTCTCGGGATGCATGCTCACTCTACAACGAACAAAAACCACAAATTACGTCACTGACAATCATTATCAAGCCGGATATTTTTCTTTCTTGGTTCAAACTTATCAAAATACAGCAATTCTAGGTATGTTTCCTTTATGGTATTATTTGATCTTAACGTCTCCAGTAGTGGCTAATATTACTTTAGAACCCATTTGGTATATGGTAGTTTCTATCCACTGATCACTCCCAATTTAATTAACTTTTGGTTTTCTTATGTCGACGCTAGGATTTTGGTATGAAAGCATGGTTAGTTCATATATTCATGCGGAATGGAGAAAAAGATATCTTGGATTAAATATACATCTTTTTAAACCCAACATCTATTCTTCGAAACTTAAGATTCCAAGGAAGAGGATCTATGTTGCAGAGACTTATGGTTTCAAATGTATTGGCGTGAATTGGAAGCAAAAAAGAACTTATGTTGGTCTCAAATGTATTGGCGTGACTTGTGAGTAACCATGCACCGTAAGTTTCATCAAGTTTTATATGTCTTGACTAAGAAGACGATGATGGACATATAAGCACGCATTATTTGCAGGAACTCGAGAGGGTGTTCCATTTAAAGGCGTGTTTGGTTTAGTTTATGATGCAAGGGTTCTACTTTGCCTAATCATGCAAGGGTTTCCTTTAAAACCAAAAAAAAATTCCAAGAAAAAGGATTATTGGTCTCATGTTCCTCCATCGACTTAGACAAAGTAAGTGTTACTCTAATGATTTACATAACTTCTTAGAGATATATCTATATACGTTAAGGTCCAGATATTTTCTTTACACCATTGTCTTTTGGTTATTCTACATGTAGAATATGTGCTAATAGATATGTGAATTATCAGCAAGCTGACATCATAAAATTTCCAGACTTCTCGCCAAACTGTTACTATCCCATGTATCATTGAGAACAATATTCCCTTAAATACTATATCAAGTGAAGAAAACTCGAGGACAACGAATGTCGATTGTGAGATTGTTTTCACAATAAGAAAAACAGAGCAATCATGGAGTCCATGAACTCAAACAAGCCCACTGCAGGAAATAAAAACAAATGCGCCTGTCTTGACAACTAAAAACACCCTATTTGTGTCCAGGTTTTCATGGGTGTTCCTTTCGTTGTGTTTTCATATTTCCAACCAATTGATTTATATTCCTAAATTCCACAACTACCCATATATCGTTACGAAGAGTGACTAATTTCTCTCCAACATTTCTGTCTTTCATATGCATGCCTCTGGGAGTTGACATGTCTAAATTCTTCATTAAAGGTACATGCATGTCTAATGTCTTCTCTTCTCATGTCATTTACTTTTTAAAACAGTAGACAAAATATATGGTTCATGGTTAGGGAATTGACTTTGCACTCACACAATGTACTGAGGTAAAATTAAAGGAAAGGGAAAGAAAATAAAATATTTGAGTTTTAGTTAATTAAGCATCAATAAGGCCACCTTCTATCTTCATTTTCTACTCACCAGTGTAATAGTTGTTTTCTGCTATGACTCTGAAACGTTTGTCTAATTGTGATCCTTCTTTTAATATTAAGCCCTTTCTTCATTAAATCTTTTTTGTTGATCTCAAATTATGTACATGTCTTTAGTCTCTGTTTTGTTTGCAGGTTTGAGTCAAATTGTCGGATGAACAAAATTCACATTTAGATGTTATTCGAGATCATGGAAGTGATAATAGGAATTCTTTTGGAGAAGGATATGATTAACTATACCAAATCGAGAAGTTATATAATGGAATTCAACGAGAAACACAACTATAATAACCCCAACAAAAGATGGTTAAGTCATTCACATTTATTCGAGGATATGGGCAACATTACAATGATTTAGTAACACTTATAAACTCAAAGTTAATTGTCATTTCTCTGCTTGAGTTGAAAAAGCATTAGAAATTGATAAGATTTATCAAAACATTGTGGAAAATAGCTCTTTAATTTGAACTCATGTCTTATCTCATATAGAAAACTAGAGTTGGTAGTACAAAAATTAGAACATAAGTCCCACGCGTAGCGTGGGATAGCCCCTAGTATGATATAAAACAGTGAAATGTGTTTATGACCATTCATTGGGTTAAACACGCTAAAGATGGAAATGGATATTTTCTTAGTTAATCACGTCGGTTATCATAATTATTTATTTACGGAAAGCATAGAAACCCAAACGCTCCCCAACAAACCTATCAAACAACATGGAGACTCCTAACCCTGTCAACTGGTCGAAACTCCCTCTCGATATCCTCAGATCTGTGTTTTAACTTTTGAACTTTGTGGATTTCCACCGAGCTAAGATGGTTTGTTCCAACTGGTATTCAGTTTCGAAACAAACAGTTCCCCGGAAAAGCGGATGTCCATGGCTAATGCTTTTTCCAGATGAAGGTGATTACGTGCTGCACAACCCACACGAAGACATGGTTTACAGGAGAAGAGGGATAGACTGTTCAGGGAGTCGATTCCTGGCAAGCTGCGGTAAATGGTTGTTGATGCTAGATTCTCGATCCAGATTATATATTATACATGTGTTTAGTGGGAATAGGATTGATCTTTCTCCATTAGAGTCGGTTTTATCGAACGACTCTGCTCTGAAGCGTATGGTAGATAGAGATAAGGAGTTTGAATTTGAATCTACTGATGGCTCTTATTACTCATTATTATACGCGGATGAAATCAAGGGACGTTTGTGGGTAGACGAGGAGTCGAAAGAGGTGGCTTTAGTGTGGTACTTTGACGCCCCTGCTTGTTTTGTATGCCTTTACAAGAAAGGGAATGCTCATTACGATCTCATTCCAATTACCTATGGAGTTCCCAGGAAGTTAACTGGCCTATGTGGTCTGGTTCTTTGGGGTTACCGTCTATACATCTTAACAACTCGTAGAGTCGTTAGAGTCATAGATTTTTCTGGGCAGCAAGGTTTCGAAGAACTCACCCGGAGTTACACATCCCCAACGTTTTCTCATCTTGGATATAATTGTTATTCTAGCCTGGTGGTTACAACAGCAGGAGAGTTTTTGTTGGTCACAATCACAACCTCTGAAAGTAGCGAAAGAGCCTTCCGCATCTACTACAAGGATCCTAATGCTGAGCCAGAGACCAAATGCCCGATCTCGTTGAGTTAGAATCTCTTGGTGATGAGGCCCTGCTTCTCGACTTGGGTATCACTGTGCCTGCTAACCATACCCTTGGTATCAAACCAAACTCTATTTATTTCACTCGTCAGGACCCTATTTCTTCCAAGACCAACTGGAACCAAACCGCCCATGTCGTGCCCCCTTCTGAGGTGGACATCTGTGTGTTCAATCTTTCAACCAAGACCCTTGAACCCTTCCCTGCTCCCTCCAACATGAGTCTCAAGAATGCTCGATGGATTTTCTCCATGACTTGATTCCAAATTCCCAGACTCTTTTGCCTCTCTTTTATTTTTTTGTCTTTCTCTAGTACCCTTTCTTCGTTTCCCTTATGCTCTTGAATAATTTATGACATTTTTTTTTGCTGGCTTTTTATACTCTTGGTAGACTTGAACGAATGTTTGAAAAGAGGAATGTGTTCTCATTTTCATTTAGTAAGTACATGCTCTTTTAACCAATTAATACGTTGACTTCTGCTTTGTGCAGCAGAAACGCTAATGCATTTAAAGTTCTATATATAATTGTACATTTGATTCTATTCTCTGTGCATGGCTGCTCTCTTCACGATTTGCTTGTAACAATTTCTTCCATAACCAATGTTTCCTCCATTGGAGTGTCAGTCATCTCTTCAGTTAGCACTCCTTTGGTCTCAGGTAATGAGAAGTCACGGAAACCGAACCAGTCAAGTGTTAGAGTAAAATTCTTTTAGAGGTAATGGAGAAAGTGTTTAAGTGTTTGAGAGAGAGTTTTAGGAAATAGAACTTTTATTACTTTGATTTTAACTTGAAGACAACTTCATAACATTACAACAAATGAGAGAGGGAGGAAGTATTTATAGCCTCCAAACTACAAAATATCTAAAATATATTAATCCTAAATCTAGAGAGTTCTTAACATAATATTTAGATTTCAATATTCTAATTATCTAGATTATTCTATAAAAATATCTAGATTTTTATGTTTAAGGAGGTGGAAGATGATTCTAGAAAATTTCTAGAACATTTTAAGGAGGTGGTAATTATGATATATCTAGAGAAAACTCTAGAACTTGGATTTGGCCCATCAAATGATTATTGGGTAATTGACCCAATAATTAAACTTGATTCAAAATCAAGTTTAACTTTCAACACCCCCTCTTAAACTTGATTTTGCTACTCCAAGCAAACTCCTCATCTTGATAAAATCTTCGTGCTTGAGAGGCTTGGTGAAAATATCGGCTACTTGATCATGTGTCTTCACATACTCCAATTGCACGTCCTTCTTGTTAACACACTCTCTAATGTAGTGATAGCGTGTGTCAATGTGTTTACTTCGATCATGGAAGACCGGGTTTTTCGCCAATGCTATTGCCGACTTGTTATCCACAAAGATCTTCGTTGGTTCATCTTGTGGTAAGCTTAGCTCCTTTAAGAGGTTTCTTAACCAAATAGCATGGCACACACATGAAGTAGCCGCTACATATTCTGCTTCACAAGTGGATAGAGTGACAATTGGTTGCTTCTTCGACATCCATGTGAAAGCCGTATCTCCAATGTAGAACACGAAACCACTTGTGCTTTTTCGGTCATTTATGTCTCCACCCCAATCGCTATCGCTATATCCAACAAGCTTGTAATCATTAGAAGTAGAATAGTGTAAGCCATAGTTTATGGTACCTTTGATATAGCGAAGAATCCTCTTGGCCGCCTTGAAATGAGTTGTTGTTGGATGCTCCATGTAACGACTAACAACTCCGACGGCATATAAAATATCGGGCCTTGTGCATGTTAAGTATCTCAAGCTTCCAACCAAGCTCTTAAAGGTTGTTGGATCCACTCCTTCTCCTTCTTCATTCTTTGATAATTTGATTTCGCATTCCATTGGTGTGGTCACCGGGTTTGAGTCATCCATCTTAAACTTTTTAAGTACCTCCTTAGCATAGCCTTCTTGAGTAATGAAGATTCCATTGTCTTCTTGTTTTACTTAAATTCCGAGGTAGTAAGACATCAATCCAATATCCGTCATCTCGAACTCCTTCGTCATCTCTTTCTTGAATTCTTCGAACATGCTTGGATTGTTACCCGTGAATATCAAGTCATCTACATATAAGCATGCAATCAATATATCGTCTTTTTGAATTTTGATATAGAGTGCATGCTCATATGGACACTTGATGAAGTCTTTCTCCTTGAAGTACTTGTCAATTCGAGTATTCCAAGCTCTTGGGGCTTGTTTTAATCCATAAAGCGCTTTCTTTAGCCTAAAGACTTTGTCTTCTTCTCCTTTGACTATATAGCCTTGTGGTTGCTCAATGTAAACTTCTTCTTCAAGGTCTCCATTTAAGAAGGCCGACTTGGCATCCATTTGATGTATCTTCCACTTGTTTTGAGCCGCTAGTGAAATGATTAGCCTAACCGTTTCTAGACGAGCAACAGGAGCAAATACTTCGTCATAGTCGATTCCGGCTCTTTGACTATAACCTTTTTTCCACCAATCTTGGTTTGTATCTTTCCACTTCTCCTTTAGAATTTTTCTTTGCTTTATACACCCACTTCACACCTATCTCCTTGTGTCCATTTGGAAGTGAAGCTAGCTCCCATGTATCATTCTTTTTTATTGCCTTTATCTCTTCATCCATGGCATTTCTCCAAGTCTTCTTTTCAATGGCTTCTTGGAAGTCAATTGGTTCGCACTCCGCAAATAGACAAAACAAAGTAAGATTATCTTGATTTTCGGTTACCTCGTAGAGCTCTTGTAAACTTCTAAAATGAGGAGTCCTCTCGCTTGAGCTTTCTTCTCCTTGAGAACTTGTTGGTGAAGTTGGTGGTGTAGTAGGTTCTTCTCTTGGTGGCTCTTCTCTTGTTAGCTCCGAGTCATCTTCTTCAAAGTGTGGAAAGAAGTTATAATCTTTTTCATTTGATTTCCAATCCCATTCTCCTTCTTCATCGAAAACGATATTTTGACTAATTATTGTCTTCTTCGTATCGGGATTATAGAGCTTGTAGCCTTTGGAGTTGTTATCATAACCAATGAAGATGTACTTCTCACTTTTGTCATCTAGTTTACTCTGCTTCTCATCCGGTACATGAGCATGAGCAACGCTTCCAAAGACTCTTAAATGAGAAACACTGGGCTTCCTTCCGCTCCATGCTTCTTGTGGTGTTTTTCCCGAGACACTTTTTGTTGGAGATCGGTTTAATAGATAAACCGCACACACGACCGCTTCCGCCCACAACTCTTTTGGTAGTCTTTTACTTTTAAGCATGCTCCTCGCCATCTCAAGAATTGTTCTATTCTTTCTTTCCGCAACACCATTTTGTTGAGGGGATCTTGGCACCGTTAGTTGTCTTCGAATGCCGTTATCTTCACAATACTTTAGAAACTCCTTCGACGTAAACTCTCCTCCACGGTTGGATCTCATGGCTTTGATTGCAAGACCACTTTCCTTCTCAACATGGGCTTTAAACTTTTTGAAGTTCTCGAACACCTCGGATTTTTCTTTCAAAAAGTAAACCCATGTTTTTCTTGAAAAATCATCAATAAAGAGAAGGAAGTAGTTACTTTTGCCAAGTGATTTTGGCTTGATCGGACCACACACATCCGTGTGTATTAGCTCCAACGGTTTTTGGGCTCTTGTACTTGACTCCTTTGGAAAGCTCATTTTGAATTGTTTTCCAAGTAGACATCCTTCACACACTTGATTTGGATGATTGATGCAAGGTAGTCCTCTCACCATTTCTTTCTTCGAAAGCAACTCCAATCCTCAAAAATTTAGATGCCCAAATCGAAGATGCCAAAGTCAAGACTCCTCCTTGTAGCACATCTTGAGACATTGTGCGATGTCATTTCGAATGTTAAGGACAAACATTCTATTTTTCGACATTGGCACCTTGGTAATGAGATTGCTTTCTTGGTCTCTAATAGAAAGGTTATTATCTTTTAGTCGAATATCATAAACTTTCTCTCCCCTATCCATACAGGAGGGATGAAATGATTGGGGGGGATAGCGTAGAGGCGATAGAACGCTATTTGTCCAAGACTCAAGATATTCGTCTTCATGCTCGGAATATAGTAAACATTTGAAATAAATTGATGATCTCCATTCTTCAATCGGATGAGAATGTTTCCTTTGCCTTTTACCTCCATCTTCGATTCATCTCCTAAAGCCACATTTCCTCTCACCGATTCATCAAGCTCCGCGAACATACTTTTTCTCCCGCACATGTGATTACTTGCACCACTATCGAGGTACCACTTATGATTCTCTTCTCGTTCATCTTTCTTGTAGCTAGCGAACATACTTCTTCTTGGATTTTTTCTTCAACGTTGTTGGCCTTCTCCTCGACTTTTTTGTTGCTAGGAGCTTTACATTCAGAAGCATAATGTCCAAACTTCCCACAATTATAGCATTTGACACTTGACTTATCATATCTTGACTTTGGACTTCCTCTCCCACGACCTCTTGATGAGTTTTCTCCTCTTTGGTTTGTGTTTTCTTCATATGGCCTCCAACCTCGTCCATTTCCATATCCACGACCTCGTCCTCGTACTTGACCGCCACCTCGTCTTTGGTAATTTTGGCCATTTTCTTCTTTATTAATCCGCATTTTGAGAACTTGTTCGACGATATCTTCTTTCTTCTTCTTCTTTTCTTCATAAGCTTGTAATGAACCAAGAAGTTGCTCTATTGTCATAGCCTCTAAATCTTTTGTTTCTTCAATGACGGTGACAATATGCTCAAATTTTGGATCCAACGATCTAAGAACTTTCTCCATGATTTTCACGTCATCTAGCTTCTCTCCGTTTCTTTTAAGGTTATTAGTAACCGTCAACACTCTTGAGAAGTAATCGGAGACGAGTTCACCTTCCTTCATTTGTAATGCTTCAAATTCTCCTCTTAGAGTTTGAAGACGTACCTTCTTGACTTGATCGGCACCTTTGTAAGAAGTTCGAAGCTTCTCCCATGCTTCTTTAACCGACGTAGCTTCAACGACCTTCTCCAACGTATCTTCATCTAATCCTTGATAGATTAGACAGAGAGCTTTCTTGTCTCTCTTTCTTGAGTCTCTCAAACCATCCTTTTGAGTTTGAGAAAGACTACCTTCATTCTCCGGTTCAATGAAACCTTTCTCGACTATCTCCTACACGTCATGTGCTCCTAAGATAGCCCTCATTCGTAGACTCCAATTATCGTAGTTGCTCTTTGTGAGCATTGGAACTTGGAAGGGAACGTTGTTACTCGCCATCTTTAGGATCTTCAAGCTCTGATACCACTTTGTTAGAGTAAAATTCTTTTAGAGGTAATGGAGAAAGTGTTTAAGTGTTTGAGAGAGAATT